TCAACAATGCTTCTTAAAATTCTTGGTTCTTCCTTTACTAGTACTGGGGCTTGAATTCAAGGCCTTTGACTTTCCTTTGGCCTTTTTGCATGACTGGTACTTCTTGAGCCTCATCTCCAGCGCACTTTTTATTTTTGACAGCTGCTTGCAGTTTAATTTCTGCCTGGTGCAAGGCACGATTAAGAGGTCCGGACAGCCTAGTGTAGCCAGGAGGGGGGTCTCTCTCAGCTTTCTCGCTGGTGTCTGCAGCGGGGAGTGGTGGGCAGGGCTCTGACACCTTGGAAGCCTGAGCGGGTAGCAACGGGTCAGGATGGGGGCCCAGCGCTGGTCTGGCCGGGCTGGCAGCCCGCTGCTCTCATGGCTTCGGGAGCCAGGCTGCCGGTGCCCGTGCTGCTGGAGGCCTGGGCTGGCTGTGGCAATGGCTCGGGAGGTTCGGACAGCGTGGATGTCCTGAAGGAAAGCGGGCCCACCGGTGCCCAGGGTCCGCTGGAGGAGAGCCGGGACGGCCTCTCCGGGGCGCCGGGCACTTGCGCCGGAGCTGTTGCTGGGTGCGGAGCCCAGGCCGCGCTGGTAGCCGTGGGTGGCCACGAGCGAGGCCCGCCGGAGAGGACGGCGGCCACCCGGCCGGGGACCAGGGGACCTGGGCGGCCGCCCCTCGTGCCCTCCGCCTGCGGTTACGGATGGCGGATGGCGGCGCCTGGAATGCCGGGCCGTGGAACCATCTTCCAGTGCCAGGCAGCGGCGCTGTGGAGGCTCCAGCACACTTTTTTGCTGGTTTTTGGAAATCCTGTGTGATCCTCCAGATCTCAGATCTCTGCCTTCTGACAAGCTGGTTTCACAGGCATGAGCCGCTGAATGCCTAGCTAAAATCTTACCATTTTAAGAAGAGAGGAATTAAACATCTTTAACGACTTTTTGGTGGGGAGGCGGTTGCTCGAGGGGCTTGAACTCTGGGCCTGGGCGCCGGCCCTCAGCTCTTCAGCTCAAGGCGACCATTCTAACACTTGAGCCACAGCGCCACTTCCGGTTTTCTGGTGGTTTATTGGAGATAAGAGTCTCACGGACTCTCCTGCCCCCCACCCCCTCTTTAATTTGCCATCCTCAGATCTCAGCCGCCCGGGTAGCTAGGATTACAGGCGTGAGCTACCAGCACCAGGCTCTTTAACGATTCTTTCAGAGTTAAAAGCATTTAGAAATGTATGTTATGCTTTAGGAAAGTGATACAAGCGTGAAACTGGAATTTTTGAATATGCTAATGGAGTATTGTTTGATGTAACTGGTTTTACTAGTCTTCAGTAGACAAACAAGTATGACTATGGTTTTGTTGTATATTCTTTTTGTTTTGCTTTTGTTTTTTGTGTTCTAGTCCCAGGTCTTGCACTCAGGGCCTAAGTACTGTCCATGAGCTTTTTTTTGCTTAAGGCTAGGACTCTACCACAGCTCCATTTCCATCTTTTTGGTGATTAATTGGAGATAAGGGTTTCATTTATTTTTCTGCTTAGGCTAGCTTGGAACTGAACTCCTTATATCTCAGCCTTCTGAGTAGCCAGGATTACAGGTGTGAGTCACCTGCTCCAGGCTTTTGCTGTCTATTCTTAACTTTCTTAGTAAAATAGTATGAGCAGCATCTGAAGGGGTACATCCAGTCACAACAATGCATGTGCCCTCTGCAAATTGTTATATGGGCAAATGGCTGTTTTTCTTTCCTCATTCTGTTGCTGCTCTTATGGAAATCAATGGAATTAAGCCCCAAAGCTGCATTTTTACATATTGAATTAAGCTCCTCCCTGGAATATCCAGAATGATTCTAGTTCTGTACTACTTTTGGAAATTTGAGTGAATAGTTCTTTTTCGTTTTGCAGCCCTAGGGATTGAACCTAGAGCAAGTATTCTTGCAGTGAGCAGCACCCTCAGCCTGATGGAGTTTTTGTTTTCTTTCGTCACCATTCTCCTCTTTCTCTTCCCTCCAAAAAAGCTAAGTTCCTTTGCAGAGCCTCTTTTCAGAAAGGGTGCTAGAGAAATGGTTACTCACAGGCATGAGAATAATGAGAAAAAGAGAAGCTAGTTTAAGGAAACTGCTAGCAGAAGCACCTCCTCTCTGCCCCCCCTTTTTTTTGTTAAATTATTTGGTCCAGTATGGTAGTTATTAATCACATGTGGCACTTTAAATGAATTAAAATTAGGTTAAAGGTCAGTTTCATGGTTGAAATCTTAGTACAAAAAAAAAAAGTTGGTTCTCTCAGTTATACTAGCTGTATTTTTAAACATTCAGTAGTCCTGTGGCTAGAACCAAGATTTCCACTGTCAGAAAGTTCTAATGTACAATGCTTTTCTGAAACTTCTGAGTTTTTATTTCATGAATTTTTTTGGGGGGGGGTCAGGTCATGGGGCCTGTACTCTGGGCCTGTGTGCTGTCCCTCAGCTCTTCAGCTCAAGGTTAGCGCTCTACCACTTGAGCCACAGTGCCACGTCCGGCTTTTTTCTTTTTGCTTATGTGGTGCTGAGGAATCGAACCCAGGGTCTCAGGCATGGAAGGCAAGAGCTCTACAACTGAGCCACCTTCCCAGCCCGTTTCATGAAATTTTTAACAGATTTTATTGTTAAATGTAGATCTATTTGTTTCTTAACCACTTAAAATTTGTAAAGTAATACTATTACTAGCAGTTTCTACTTTACTGGCTGTTTTCAGCATTGGGTAAACAGTGGTATGTCTACTTAGCAGATCTCCTGTAATTTGCAATTAAAAGACAACTTTTGTTTCAGTGCTAAGGATTGAATCTAGGACCTTACAGTGCTAAGGATTGACTCAAGGGCCTTATGTAGGCAAACATTTCTACCACTGAGCTATATCCTCTTCTCTCCAAATCAACTTTAAGGACAATTTAAACTATCTGTATAGTTGATAAAAGGTAATTTGGGTGGGAACAAAAATCTCACTGACTTAGAAAAAAGTTTTACTTTCATTTTTCATTTAATAGGAAAATTTAAATCTGATTCATAAATGAACTAGTTTAACAGAAAGCATATAAAAAGATATGACTTGATGATGGAATACTTGCCTAGAGTACACAAGGTCCTGGATTTAATCTCTAGCACTGCAATTAATCATCAGTGAATAAACATGACAAAAAGAAAACATTTACAAAGTTTTGAAATAGCATGTTATAGAAAAAAATAGGTGAGGATCATTAATTGCCTCTTTTATTATGTGGTGGGATGATAAAAACATGGAAAAACTATTGATGCTAGAAAAGGGAAACAAACATACTGTTTTTCTTTTTTTGGTGCCAGTCCTGGTGGCTTGAACTCAGGACCTGGGTGCTGTTCCTGAGCATTGTTTTTTTTTTTTTTTTTGCTCAAGGTTAGCACTATCGCTTGAGCCACAGCTTTACTTCTGACTTTTTGTTGCTTACTTGGAGATGAGATTCATGGACTTTTCTGCCCAGGCTAGTTACTAGCCTCCTTTGTAGCGAGGCTCTGTTGTTCCTTTTCTTTCTCTCTTTTATATTCATGAGTACCCTAACCTTCATTCTCATACCCTTTATGTCTGGGCTAATAATTAAAGTGTCTGAGCACCATGGTGACTTTTTCAATATACTGTGAAACAACTATTATAGAGAGATGTGAAAACATTAAAAAAATCATTTTTCTGATAGCTTCCTACAACCTAAGGCTAAAATCACCTAGAGTAATTTACCTGTGTGATTAACAACAGCTCAGAACACCATCTTGTATAATACCTTGTGTGTCTTCACTGGACATGTTCTAGTTATATAGAGCTTTAATTCATTCAGTATCATTCATTCAGTAAATGAACAGTTTGTAAAAAATTTTGTTAGAGTCTATTAAAGTTACAAAGAAAATATTCTTAAGGCATTTATACACATAATACAGACATAGTAGAGGGGAAGAGAGAAATGAGGGGCAGGTTTATAGAAAATAGAGTGGTCAAGGAAAGACTTCAGAAGTAGAAGTAAGAGGCGATTCTGGCTGAGGAAAGGTGTAGGTGTGAACAAAAGTTTAAGTTTGAGAAATATTCCAGAAAATAGAACAAAGAAAAAAATATAAAAAATTCAATATCTTTCTAGGAGATAGTCAAGTGTCATTGTCAATTAACCTGGAGAATTATAGTATAAAGGACAAACAAAGCAGATGTAGTCAGATCAGTGGGATGGTTTTTTAAGGCCTTGTTAGAAGGTTTGTACTTAATCATATATAAGCAAAATGAAGATTTTCTTTCAACTGTGTATATTTATTGTTTAATTAATGAAACTGATGAATAAGAATCATTAGGTCTGTGCTATTTAGTATAATAGCTACTCACTGCTTGTGGCTGTTAAAATTAAATAAAATTGATTTTTTTAGTTGTACTAGCCACATATTAAGTGCTGAATAGTGAGACAACAGTGCAGCTGTACACTTTGTCAATCACTGAGAAGGATCTGTTGGAATCAGCAGTAGATGTTGATAGAACAAACTGTGTAGTAAGACTTAAAGTTTAAGAATGCAAAAGTTTTGTTTATGATTTATTATTATGTATGCTTTTATGAGAGGCAAAATATAAATTAAGAAATAAAATTAGTTTGAATATAATAAATATAGTTAGCATATTCAAAATTTTAATAATTGATTTTTCTTTTGAATTTTTAGCTAATGTGTTTTTGGGAGTCAGACAACCTTCAGATGTAGAGTTAACTATTAGTAATAATCCAGTAACATGCCATAAGCTGATCTTGTCAATTGATTCCCTGTTGTGATTTTGATTAAATCTGCTTTTGTACCACTATAGTAATAGATTTTGAATCTCAATGGAACATGTTTAAAGAGAAATTAGAAGACTGGTGTAAACTAGATGCTTTTTTAACAATCATTATTCTAAAATTTATTGATAATTTTGAAAAGGGTATCAGGATAAAGGAAACAATGCTCCTCAAAATTGATAAACAAAATGACAGAATTAATAGAAGTGACTAATTTATAATTTTATGCCTCTTTTCAAGGACTACAACTCCAGGAGAAACAAAACTCCTGGCCTCTGAAATCTATGACATTCTTCAGTCCTCCAACATGGCAGATGGTGATAGTTTTAACGAAATGAATTCTCGTCGAAGGAAAGCTCAGTTTTTTCTGGGAACTACAAACAAACGTGCCAAAACAGTGGTTTTGCATATAGATGGTCTTGATGATACGGTAAGACTTACAAACGTGTGGTTCATGAAATAGAAAGAGAAATCCTAGCTTTCTTTTTTTTCTTCCAGTGTCCCTTTCTAACAGTCTTAAGAAAAAGTCCCAGTATCAGTATTTTATTTTATTATTTATTTTTTCCAGTCCTGGGGCTTGAACTCAGGGTCTGGGTACTGTCTCTGAACTGTTTTTGCTTAAGGCTAGCACTGTTTTTGCTTAAGGCTAGCATTCTACCACTTGAGCCACAATGTCACTTCTGGCTTTTTCTGTTTATGTGGTGCTGAAGAATTGAATCCAGGGTTTCATATGTGCTAGGCAAGCTCTGATATCACTAAGCCACATTCCCAGCCTGTCAGTATTTTATACTGATAACCAAGGTCACTTTGTGCTTAAGGGTTCATTTAATTAGATGATATACAATTTTAAATGTTTGTAACTTATAATTGAGCTCCAGAATATTTGAAGCCAATTATATGAACTAATGCAAAGAGAAACAGACAAATTTACTTTAGAGCTAGAAGTTTCTACACCACTTTCTTAATAGAAGTTTATAAAATACCAGTAAACGGGGTAAAGGGTCAACTAATGCCATCCATCAACTTAACCTTATTTGATATTTATGGAATATCCTACCCCAAAACAGAATAATAGTCTTCCATTTACATGCTCAGTGAATGTTTCCTGGTTTAAACCTTGTTATAAGCTATAAAATAAATCTTAATATATGGATTTAAAAGGAACTAGAAATCATTAGCAAAGTAAGCCAGATTCAGAAATACAAACTGTGTTCTCTCTCATATATAGAATCTTAAAAAAGATAAAAGGGCAGGAATATGGGAGCAGGCACAGGCTCTCAGTTCAAACCCCAATACTAGCCGGGTGCTGGTGGCTCATGTCTATAATCCTAGTTACTCTGCAGGCTGAGATCTAAGGATTTTGGCTTGAAGTTAGCCTGGGCAGGAAAGTTCGTGAGACTCTTATCTTCAATAAACTTACAAAAATAAAGAAGTGGAACTGTGGCTTAAGTGGCAGAGCACTAGCCTTAGAGCAAAAAAGCTCAGGGACAGTGTATAGGCCCTGGGTTCAGAATCAGCACACACAAATCTCAACAACAACAACAAAAAAGAAACCCAGTACTGCCTAAAGAAAAAGTTTCAAAGGGATAAGTATGAGTAATTTAGTATAAATATGATCATAAGTACCTTATGTACATGTATGAAATACACCCATTATAGTGTATATGGTATGTATACACTAATGTAAAAGGATTAAGAGGATAGAGATTATATAAATTCAAAATAATAACAAAAGTATCAGAAAAAATTCTCTACAAAATTTGGGAGATTAACATGTCTAAAATCCCATGGTTCACTGAATAAATCAAGATAATTAGAAATGAATATATATAAAAATTTGTAGTAAGTAGTTGAAACAGTATTTCACTAATACCAAATGCTCAAATATTTATATAAAGAAGGAAAAAAGGGATAAAGTCAGTAACTTAAGCTTCTACTTTACACTTGCAAAAGAAAAGCACATTAAAGCCAAAAGAAGAAAATAAACAAGAACAAAAAACCCCAAATCAGTGAAATGTACATAGAGAAAAGTCAAGGAAATTGAAAGCTGGTCTTATACATGATTAAATAAAATTGATACACCTCTGGCTGAACTGATGAGAAAATAGAAGATACACACTAATAATGTCAAATATGAGAGAAGACACCAGGGTAAACCCTATAGATGCTGAAAGAATCATATGTAAATATTTTAAATAACTTTAAGCCAATAATTTTGATAATGAAAATAGAAAGGCCCTTATTAACAAACCTTACTTAGAAAAACTTGACTAGCTGTGTTTTGTTTTTTTTTACAAAAACTAAATTTATTGTTTGAAAACCTTCCTTCACACAAAGAAAACTTTAGACCCACATTATTTCACTGTTGAATTAGCTTTGTTTTTTAATTTTTGAGGCAGGTTTTTATTGTTCAGCCCATGCTGGCCTTGATCTCAGTCATTCTGCCTCTTCCACCTGAGTATTGGGATTAAGTGTACACCAGTATTCCCAGCTCTTCACTGGTGAATTCTACAAACACTTAAGAACACTTACATAAAATCTTTCAGAATATTATATAACTTTAGCAGTTGTTCTCCATAACTTGTAATTTTTTCTGTGCTCATTCTACTTTATCTGCTTTTCATATTAGTAATTTCAGTTTCCTTTTGATTAGTGTCTGTCTTTCTTCACTTTGTGTTTCTATTTCAAGTGGATTTCTTCCAGGCCTCACATGTTTGGGACTTGCTTTGTTGTCCAGTCTGAAATTCTCCACTTGTACAATTGGAGGACTGGCCTCTCCGCTGGAACTGCAGACCTTTTAGGAATTAGGAAAGCATTGCCCTAACCTGCAGCACTACTGAGCGAGGACTTCTTGGGGCAAAGGAACTGGAAATGGTCACAGATCCTCCAGAGGCCCCACTGCAAGGCCTGATGTTGGGAAATTATCTTTTCATGCCTGTGGTAAACCCCTGGGTGTGGTCTTCCACTGAAGACATAGCCTGTTGTTTCCTACAAGATGGTGCTCACCCTGTGCTGCCGGCCCCATGCACGTCAGGAGTGGCTCTGCAGGCACACAAGAGTGTGGGCTACAGGCTCCACCTTCCTGTCTTTGGCATTAATGCCACTAGAACCCTACCTGAGTCCTGTGTGTCTGGCCACAAATGGGCCATATTTACTCAGGAGAGTGCTCTTCATAGTGGAAATAGTTCAGGGTGAGGAAAAATAAAAATAGCAATGGCTTCATATTAAAAACAAAACAAAAAATCTTAATTGTTTTCTATTTGTCCTGTCCTGTTTTTTTTCTTTTCCTTAGACTTATTGGATGTTTTTATATTATTCCTCTTTTTGTTGTTGTTATTCTTAGTATATATTTTTTATTGTAAAGATACTGTAAGAGGGGTTATAATTACATGAGCAAGGTAATGAGTCCATTTCCTATTGAGTACTGTTACACCCTCCTTTATTTTTCCCCTACCGTCCCTTTCCTTCCCACCTTTTTTTCTATGTTTTTGGTCCCAGTCCTGGCTTGAAATTAAGTTCCTGGGTGCTGCTCCTGAGCTTTTGTTCTCCAGGCTAGTGTTCTACCACTTGAGCACAGCTCCACTTCCAATTTTTTGGTGGTTAGACATAGGAGTCTCAGGGACTTTTCTTCCTGGGCTGGCTTTGAACTTCATTCCTTAGATCTCAGCCTTCTGAGTAGCTTGGATTATAGGTATGAGTCACCAGTGCATGGCTATTATTCCATTTTATCTTCTTTGTTGATTTATTAGCTGCAGTCCTCAGTCTTTCATTTAGGCTTTTGTTTAGTGTTTATTTTCTAGATCTTTGATTTAATACAGTCTAGCTTCAACTAATATTTCATGTAGTATGAAGTACTTAAATTTCTTCTCTTTCTGCTGTTATTATACATGTTATAGACCTCCCAACATTGTTTATTATTTTTGCTTTAAGCATTCTGTCTCCTTTTAAAACATAAAAGTATTTTTTATCTACCCACATATTTACCACTTCATTATGTCCTTTTATGTTGACCTGGATTATCATTGTATGCTCCTTCTGCCTGAAGGACTTCTTTTAACCTATTATAGTATATACACTTGTATCTCTGTTGGTAATAGAGATAGATTCCTTTTTAAATTTGAGATAGAACTTAGTTGCCATTTTATTTATTTTTGCAGTGCTGAGGGATTGAACCCAGGACCTTGCACATGCAGACAAACCCTGAGTTTGAATTATACTCCCAGCTCCAATTCATCTTTTTTTCAGTCAGTACAACTTGATCTCAGGGCCTTCAGCTTACTAAACAGGCCCTTTATCACCCGATACATGTTCCTATAACCATTGGCCATTTTTGTGTATGTGTATATACCAGTACTGGGGCTCAGACTCAGAGTCTGGGTACTGTTCCTTGCTCAAGTCCGTCACTTGAGCCACAGCTCCACTTCCAACTTTTTGGTAGTTAATTGGAGTCTCCTGGACGTTCCTTCCCCTGGCTAGCTTTGTATCTCCAAAGAAAAAACTTATCTTTTCAATGATAAACTTAAATACTTTATTTTTTTTATTTGTTTTGAAATAGGGCCTCCACTGTATAGCCTTGATCTTTTCTTGAGTTGCTCTCTCTCTTTTCTTTCTCTCCCCCCCCTTTTCCCATCTCTTCCCCACCCTCCCCCTCTCCCTCCCTGTCTCCCTCTCGCTCTCAAGGTCTTGGAATATGTCTTGGTTTTTTTGCACAAAGCTGTGCTCTTCCTCTTAAGTCACCACCTCCACTTGAGAGATAAACTTTTGATATCACTGTTTCTTTTTCTGTTTTTCATGTTCTATTTGCTTCTCCCAGTTCCTACCTCTTCCTCACTTTGAGTTTAGTTTGCTTTATTTGCTTCCTTCTTAGAATGTAAAGTTAGGGTTTTTTTAGTTTAATTTGCTTCTTTTTCTTAGAAAGTTAGGTTACTGATTTGGGATTTCCACTGGGTCCAACCACCATGACTAGCAAACGCAAAATAAAACAAACCTCACACTTTTAGTAATACTGTGCTTTCATATATTGTTCCACTGTCTTCTGCCTTTGTTTTGTTTCTCCTCAGAATTCTGCTTCAGAGCTTCTTCAAGGTTTCAGGTTTTACATTCAGGTCCTTGAGCTGGGCACTGGTGGCTCATGCCTGGTGATCTTAGCTACCCGGAGGCTAAGATCTGAGGATTGTGGTTTAAAGCCAGCTGGGGCAGGAAAGTTTGTGAGACTTTTATCTCCAATTAACCACCAAAAAGCTGGAAGTGAAGCTGTGGCTCAAGTGGTAGAGTGCTAGCCTTGAGCAAAAAGAGTTCGGGGGCAGCACCCAGGCCCTGAATTCAAGCTCTATGATCAACATCCCCACCTCCCCCGAATCAAAGACCCCGAGGTCTTTGATCTTTGAATTGATATGAGTATATAAGAGAAATAGGGGTGCAGTTTCAGTTTTCTGCCTGTGCATATCTCAGGTTACTTTCTAATATACATACATTGAACATCAATGAGCTGAAAAAATTGACACTCTGTCAGATCTCCAGAATAAATTTCTCTCTGTATGCCCTTTGCCTTTGTGTAGCTTTCATCCCATTTACTCTCTCCTGCAAACTGAATCTGCCATGGCCTCTGAACTCTTAGCTCTGTTCCCAATTTAAGGAGACTGCTGGGTTCTGCTTGGTTTTCATGTTACTCAGACTCTCAATGCTATGACAAAATACTTGACAGAAACAGATTAAGGGAGTTATTTACTTTGGCTCACAGTTTCTGTCCATGTCCCTTAGCACCTTCATTTGGACATAAAGTTAGGCAGAACTTAATGACAGCCAGAGTGCATGGTGAAGGAGGCTGGTAACCTCATTGTGTCCAAGAAGTATATAGAAAGTATGGCTGTACTGATGGGCTTTTTCCTTTGCTACTTTAGATGCCAGGCTGTGGATGGGCTTTTTCCTCTTTTTTCCCAAAGAAGTTAATCTTCTTTGTATATACTCTTGTATTCTCACAGATATACCATAAAGTGCAATTTACTACTCTCATAGGGGCTTTTTCCTTCTAATCAAGCTGATAGAATTAGTTATCACAGTTCCTCTTCCTCAGTTGCAGCATGAAGACATTGTTATTCTTTCCTTTTCTGTTTTCCCTCCTCTCTTTTATCCATACTGGATTTTGAACTCAGGGCTTTTGTTCGTTTAGGCAAGTGTTCTACCACTTAAACCATGCCCCTGACCCTTTATTTTTCCAATAAAGGTTAACTTTTTGCCTGGTCTGATCTGAACCATAGTTCTGTTTGCACATACTGCACAGTTGTGCTGACAGGCACACACCACTGTGTGTGCTTTTCTTGGTTGAGATGAAGTCTCATGTACTTTTTTGCCTCCCAATCTCAGCTTTTCTTTTTTTTTTGTAACTGTTTTTCCTTTTTTTTTTAATTTAATTTTATTTGTGAACATACTGTACAGAGGGGTTACAATTAAATGGGCAGGATAATGCGTACATTTCTTACCAAGCATTGCAGCCTCCTCCTTTGG